AGTCTGAGACGAAGGTGTCTGCAAGGCTGGTTTCTTCTGAGGTCTCTCACTTTGGCTTGCAGGTGACCATCTCTGCCTGTGTCTCCACGTGGTCGTCTCCCCGTACCTGTCTGTCCAGATTTCCTCTTCTTCTAAATGCACAAGTCATATTGGATTAGTGCACACCTAATGATCTAATTTTAATTACCTATTTGAAGACCCACATACAGTCACATTGCTACATACTGGGGAGTTAGGATTTTCTCATCTTAAATCTTAACAGAGGATTTTGTGTATGTGTGTGGGATTCAACCGATTCAACCCCTAACAGTTTATACATCTATATAATTTGCTTGGGACTTTTCAGGAAAATTAGATGGGACTGGGTGCAATGGCTCACACCCGTAATGCCAGCCCTTTGGGAGGCCGAGGCTGGCAGATCACCTGGGCTCAGGAGTTCGAGACCAGCCTGGCCAACAGGATGAAACCCTGTCTCTACTAAAAATACAAAATTAGCTGGGCATGGTGGCACATGCCTGTAATCCCAGGTACTTGGGAGGCTGAGGTGGGAGACTCCATTGAACCCGGGAGGCAGAGGTTGCAGTGAGCTGAGATTGAGCCACTGAACTCCAGTCTGGGCAATAAGAGTGAAACTCCATCTGAAAGAAAAAAAAAAAGGAAAGAAAGAAAATGAGATGGGCTTTGTTTGATGAGACCAGGAAAAGGCACGCTCTCTGCCCTGCCCTGCCCACCACCAACTCTGCTCAGGCTTGGCCCACGAGGGGGCCCGCTGGCTGCTGGTACAGGTTGTTACAGGGGATCTTCTAACACCGCACAGGTACCAAAATGCACAGCCCCATGGGTTATGTGCTAATTTGTATCTCCTCAGATTCCTATGTTGAAATCCTAACACCCGATGCTTCAGAATGTGACCTTATTTGGATTGTGATAGGGTCTGTAGAGAGGCAGTCAAGCTTAAAATGAGGTCATTAGAGTGGGCTCTATTCCAAAACGCCTGGTGTCATAAAGGGGAAATTGGGGTTCAGAAACACACATAGAGGAAGAGGTTGGGAAGAAAATGACAGAGCAGCCATCTAGAGGGCAGAGGGAGAGGCCTGGACAGATCCTTCCTCAGACCTCAGGAGGAGCCCGCCTGTCCACACTTCCATCCCAGACTTCTTTTTAAAAAATACAGGCAGGGTCTTTCTCTGTTTTCCTGCTGGTCTCAAACTCCTGGCCTCAAGTGATCCTCCCTCCTTGGCCTCCCACAGTGCTGGGATTATAGGTGTGAGCCTCTGCACTCAGCAGGTCCCAAGCTTCTACCCCTAGAAGATGAGAAAATACATTTCTAGTGTGTCAGCCAGCTGGTCTGTGGTACTTTGTTATGGCGACCCTAGCAAACAAACATACCATGCTTTCTTCATGTATTTGACAACCATTTAATCAGTTTCTCTGGTATGTTGGCCCTGAAGACACAGTGAATAATAATACACATTTCCCACCTTTGAGAAGCTTGTAGTTGGCCAGGTGTGCTGGCTCAGGCCCGTAATCCCAGCACTTTGGGAGGTCAAGGCGGGCGGATTACCTGAGGTCGGCAGTTCAAGATCAGCCCGGCCAACACAGTGAAACTCTGTCTCTACTAAAAATACAAAATTACCTGGGCATGGTGGTGCATGCCTGTAATCCCAGGTACTTGGGAGGCTGAGGCAGAATTGCTTGAACCCGGAAGGCAGAGGTTGTGGTGAGCTGAGATCTTGCCATTGCACTCCAGCCTGGGCGACAAAAGCGAAACTCCATCTCAAAAAAGAAAAAAGAAGCTTATAGACTCCGCAGGGGAACAATTACGTTTGAAAAATCATTTGGGTTCAATGTAGCTGGTATTCCATTTCCTTATAAATTGGGAAATACATTTTCAGCTTTTATTTTATTTTTGCAGCAAAACGCTGACTTTTGCTAAGAAGGAGTCACTCTTTGCGGGGTTAGGGGATGTTAGGCCGCACTCAAGCCTCCTGTCCAAGTCATCTAACTCCTAATCCAATTCAGCTGCCCCCAAATTTCTCCTCTGCACAGGATCAGAGAGTCTTGGGGAAGGTAAATCAGATCTTATCACAGCTCAACCCATCCCCTCTCTGGCTTAAAGCACTTCAGTGACTTCCCGTTTTCCAAGGTAAGTCAGATTCCATAACACGTATGCCCTGGCGCAGTCTCCAGCCTCTGCGCTGCTGGCTTTTTCCCAACCCAGAAACTTTGGTTTCTCTTGTGCCTGCATCTCTCTTCCCCTCTCTGTTGACCTGGTTCATCTACAACCCTCTAGATCTTAGTTTATTCATCATTTCTTCTAGGGAGCTTTCCTTGAGCACCCAGCTTAAAACAAATCTCCCTTGTAATAACTCCAGCACTACGTGCAGCAAGTACATCTTCTTTTCACAGTTGAAATGTTTCCATTATTTGTGCATTGGTTTGATAACTCTAAGCTCGTGACAGCATGTTCATATTCCTGCACTAAAATATCCTTAGTGCTCCAATACATGGTAAGAACTCAAACAATATTGGTTAAGTGAATCAATGAGTAAATGAGTGAATGCGTAATCCTAACCCTTAGAATTTCTGACTGGGGAAGCAGTTATAGTATTTGGAAAACAGGACCAGGTGTAGTGGCTCACACCTGTAGTCTCAGACTTTGGGATGCTCAGGCAGGTGGATCACCTGAGTGTTCGAAACCAGCTTGGACAACATGGCATAGAGTAAGTAGACTAAGTAGAGTAAAACTCTGTCTCTACTAAAAATACAAAAAAAAGTTAGCCAGGCACGGTGGTGCACACCTGCAGTCCCAGCTACTTGGGGAGGCTGAGGAGGGAGGATCATTTGAGCCTAGGAGGTCGATGCTGCAGTGAGCTGAGATCACGCCATTGCATTCCAACCTGGACTACAGATGGAAACCCTGTCTCCAAAACAAACAAACAAACAAACAAACAAACAAACAGAAAGAAAAATAGTAAAGTACTAGTAAATACAGGAAACTGTATACACATTTGAGTGCTATTGTGTCAACAAATTTTTTGCAAAGTTATTTGTCATTGAGAAGCTCATTTTATCTGTGAAAATTAAATTTCTTCTATAACACTTTGAATACATTTCCCAAATATTTACTTAACATTCTATTCATTAGAAAATCTCTCACTCCACTTTCAAACAATTTTTTTTTTTTTTTTTTTTTTTTTAGAGACAGAGTCTCACTGTGTCACCCAGGCTGCTGTGCAGTAGTGCAATCATAGCTCACTGCAGCCTTGAATTCCTGGGCCCAAGTAATCCTCCCTCCTCAGCCTCCCATAGAAAATTTTTAAGTAATTCTAATCTATTTTTTAAAGAAACAACGAAACACCAATTGACTCTTGACAAACCACCAGATTTCATTGCTGGACTAAGAAGTTTCTAGACCTTCTGGATTTAATTGAATCTTGAATGAGTGTCGAGGAACTGTAGGGCAAAGGGCGTCTGCTCCATAGTTGATCCAAGAAATGTTTAATGGGTTGTACTGGTTTACAGAGGATTATGAGTCCAGAGGCCCAGCCCTGCAAGAGTTCGTAATCTGCCATGTTGCAGGCGAGTGTAAACAAATGGTACAGTGCAGCAAGATAAGTGCTACCAGCGGAATGTACAAAACGCGATCAACTGCACACAGCCCACGGAAAATATAAGACTCTTACACTATTACCCCAACTCTCCACATTTCCATAAGTGTTATGATTTGAGGATGAAATATACCGAATAGAACAAGACTTAATTCCCTTGATAGTCCACTAATTTCATAGTTGTCCTTCCTTACCTTTCAGAAAAAGGGAGCTATTATGTTTCCTTATGTTTCTAGCTTTTGTGAAAAAAATCACCCTCTTCTGGTCATGACCTTGTCCTTGTCTCTGTCTTCTATTCACCTCTGCCTCCCTGTAATGAATAATTATTTTTTAACTTTGTGGTTGCTCTTCTGGCACTGGGTTCCCTAAGGGAGATGAACTAATATTTGTTAAATCCCCTGATTTTTGTGTGAATCCTCCTTGATCCCTAGCTTTTATAGAAATAGAAAATAAGCAATTTAAGAGTCTGGAGTAAATGGGGAAGTCAGAATCCTGATGTACAGGCTCAACCTTTCACTTAGGTTTGGGCTGAATGTAATGAAGCTCTCTACAAACGATGTGGAAATTGAAATAGAAAATGAATATGTTACCCGTTTAGTGCAAATGTTCTGTTAGGCACAAGCATAATTTATCATTAAGTGCTTCTCTTCTAATGCCACTGGGTATAATTGTGTTGAGTCAAAATGCTTTTGGCTAATATACTTTTTAATCCATAAGGCCCAATTAGGTTTTGAAAATACTAATAAATATAGCTATTATAAAATATCTGCATTCATGATTTACAGAAAGTAGAGTTTTATTTATTTATTTATTTATTTATTTTTTTTTTTTTTTGAGACGGAGTTTCACTCATGTTACCCAGGCTGGAGTGCAATGGCGCGATCTCGGCTCACCGTAACCTCCGCCCCCTGGGTTCAGGCAATTCTCCTGCCCCAGCCTCCTGAATAGCTGGGATTACAGGCACGCGCCACCATGCCCAGCTAATGTTTTGTATTTTTAGTAGAGACGGGGTTTCACCATGTTGACCAGGATGGTCTCGATCTCTTGACCTCGTGATCCACCCGCCTCGGCCTCCCAAAGTGCTGGGATTACAGGCTTGAGCCACCGCGCCCGGCCTTATTTATTTATTTAAACAGGGTCTCACTCTGTCACCCAGGCTGGAGTGCAGTGGTGCGATCTCGGCTCACTGCAACCTCCGCCTGCCAGGCTCAGGTGATCCTCCCACCTCAGCCTCCCGAGTAGCTGAGACTACAGGCATGTACCACCATACCTGGCTAATTTTTGTATTTTTTGTAGAGATGGGGTCTCACTGTGTTGCCCGGGATAGCCTTGAACTCCTGGGCTCAAGTGATCCTCTCGCCTTGGCCTCTCAAAGTACCAGGATTACAGGCATGAGCCACCACACCCAGCCAAAAGTGGAGTTTCTTGTTATGTAATTAGCAAAAAAAAAGATGTTCCTTGTAGCAGCAGAGGCAGCTATGCAGGTGACCTGCAGGTGAGAGGACAGCCTCTTTCCTCACTAGGTCTCTGTTTCCTGGACCTCAGCAAGACTCTTTAGTTATGTGATAAGCCAAATGGTCATTCATTCACTCATCCAATCATTCATTCATCCAACTAATATTTATTGAGTGCCTTCAGTGTGCTAGGTAAAGTGTCTGCCTTCATGGAGTGTACGTTCTAACAAACAAAACAGACCATAATGTATGAACAAATAGCTATGTACGCTAATGTTGGGTAGAATTAAGTGTTATGAAGACGTTGGAGCAGAAGAAAGAGTTGGAGTTGAAGACAGCACTGCTTCAAATCGGGTGAACAAGGAAGGCTTTCTGAGGAAGCTGAATGTAGCAGATCCAAGAAGGAATTGAGAGACAGAGCCATTGAATACCCCCGGGTGTTGCAGGGGACGGTGTTCTCAACAGGGGGAGGAGCAAATGCCAAGGCATTAAGACGAGGGTGTGTCCAAGATCCAGTGTCTAGACACTTTTTCTTCCCTATTTTAATTGGATTGAAACCACCTTTGCAAAGATTGAAACAGTGAGAAAATTATGACAGTGAAAGAGATCTGTTGATCTAACTAACTCCATCTTGCCTTTAACCTCAAACTGCCTCTGGTCATTCCTGGGTTTCGTTCAAGCTAACTTTGGAAGAAATTTAGTTTATAATTTAAATGATAATACCCCTTCCCCAAAACTAAACCACCCTTGTAAAACTAACCAGGTTAGGAGGATGAGAGGGTTCTGAACTCTGCTAAAATGCAGGCATGAATGACTACCAGCTGCCCTTGCTGCCACCAACATGGAGACTTTGTACCGTGTCCTGTTCTTAGTCCTCGAATGTCTCAACCTGAAGCTGAAGAAGCTGCCCTGGCTTCGCTTGCCGTTGGCCATGACTGTGTACGCTCTGGTGGCGGTGTCTTACCTCCTCATCGCCGGAGGAATCATTTATGATGTTATTGCTGAACCTCCAAGTATTGGCTCTATGACTGACGAACATGGGCGTCAAAGTCTATTTTACAAAGTAAATAGATAATATATTATGGAAGGACTTATATCCAGCTTCCTGTTTACAATGGAAGGTTTAGGTTTCATAATACTGGACCAACTGAATGCACCAAATATCCCAGAATTCAATAGATGTCTTCTTCTATTCATTGGATTCATCTGTGTCCTATTGAGTTTTTTCATGGCTAGAGTATTCATGAGAATGAAACTACCGGGCTATCTGATGGGTTAGAGTGACTTCGAGAAGAAATCAGTGGATACTGGATTTGCTCCTGTCAATGAAGTTTTCAAGGCTGTATCAATGCTCTAATATGAAATGTGGAAAAGAATGAAAAGCAGCAGTAAAAGAAATATCTAGTGAAAAAACAGGAAGCGTATTGAAGCTTGGACTAGAATTTCTGCTTGATATTAAAGAGACAACTTTATTGCAGTTTTTTTTTTTTTTTTTTCCTGCTGACCTATTGCTATGCTAACGATGTGGAGTGGCATTTTCTTCGTAGTTTTTCATTTCTTAAAGAAAATATACTCGGTATCTACAACTACAATATCAAATAAAGTGATTATTTTTTACAACCCCTTAACGTTTTTTGGAAATGACATTTCTGATTTTCAGAAATTAACATAAAACCAAGAAGCAAGATTCCATTAGCTGAGAACTCTGGACAGCTAATCAGCTTCATCTATGGTCCTTTGCCTTTAACTAGAGTACGTGATGGTAGATTATTTCAGATATGCATGTAAGACTGTTTCTTGAACAATAATATGTATGAAAGGAGCAGAAATAAATACTTTTTCTAATTCAAAAAAAAAACCAAAAATGACTACTAGCCATTATTCCGGAGGTCACAAGATATGCAACTTCCCTGACTACTCCTGTAAATGACATCACTTTTGGAGACCCTGAGACTGGCCATTTGAGATGGCTTGTCAGGCTTTTGCATTTCTGACTACCAGATGGCCCCAGCCAGACCAGCACCTCCTCTGGGGGTCCCCACCGAGAAGTGGACTGAGCACAAGAGGGCTGTTCTCCACACCCCTATGATTGCATCCCCAGCCAATCAGCACTCTCCCTTCCTTATCTCCCTGCCCACTAAACTGTACTTGACTCTGAACTGTACTAGCCTCCAAATTTTCAGGGAGATTGAGTAGTATCCCTTTTTCTATGCAAGGCCAGCCTCAAATCAATTAAACTTTTTTTTTTTTTTTTTTTTTGAGACGGAGTTTCACTCATGTTACCCAGGCTGGAGTGCAATGGCATGATCTCGGCTCACCGCAACCTCCGCCTCCTGGGTTCAGGCAATTCTCCTGCCTCAGCCTCCTGAGTCGCTGGGATTACAGGCACGCACCGCCATGCCCAGCTAATTTTTTGTATTTTTAGTAGAGACGAGGTTTCACCATGTTGACCAGGATGGTCTCGATCTCTTGACCTCGTGATCCACCCACCTTGGCCTCCCAAAGTGCTGGGATTACAGGATTGAGCCACCGCGCCCGGCCTAAACTCTTTCTTTACTGCAATGCCATGGTCTCCATGGATTAATCTTGTCTGAGCAGCAGACAGGAAGAACCTGTCAGGTGATTATAAAACCAGGAGCAACACATTCAAAGTTAATCTCCAATGAGATCAACCGTTTTCTAACTTTGGTGTTGCTCAATGATTCATTAGACTTATCAGCGCTCAATATGAATTTGTTAATCTGGAAAGACGTAAGACATTTATTTCCCACTCTTTTATACCTTCCAGTAGTGACTATGTGTATGTGGAGGAGGGTAGGGGATTCAGACAAGTTCAAACAAATAAGAGGGAACAAAAATTACTGGTTGAAAAAATTCACCCTTGCAAGCGTGGAGGCTTGAGTTTGTAATCCTAGCACTTTGGGAGGCCAAGGTGGGAGAATCACTTGAGCCCAGGAGTTCAAGACCAGCCTGGGCTACAAGGTGAAACCCCAACTCTACTAAAAATACAAAATTTAGCCAGGCGTGGTGGTGCACACCTGTAGTCCTGCTACTCAGGAGGCTGAGGCAAGAGGATCGCTTGAACCTGGGAGGTGGCGGTCGCAGTGAGCCGAGATTGCTCCACTGCACTGTGGCCTGGACAACAGAGTGAGACTCCGTCTTAATAAAAAAATAAAAACTCCTTTAAAAAGGACAGATTCCCTCTGCACGTGTCTTTTACCCCATGTCTCTCTCCCTCTTCCTGCCCTAATCAGATAGGATGCTAGAGTCAGAAAGTTTATCTTGCAACCACCTGGGGACAAGCATGGAACAAAAGCTACATGGAAAGGATTGCTCAGCAGAAAGCTAGAGGCCACCTGGGTTCCTGATGGCCCTGTGAGCTGCACTCACCTGCTGAGACTATCAATCCACAGACTTCTTGTGTGCAGAAAAGAAACCAAAAGAAATCTCTGACTCGGCTAAGCAATTCATCAGGTGTTCTATTCTCAGCCAATTAATACCAATTGATACATTCTTACGTGGGGATGTATTCTTTCAAGTTTGAAGATGGAGTTGATTGTTAATGGAATGTGGTCAATGTCCTCTGGGCCCAGTCTCTCCTTCTCCAATCTCTTGGTTCTGCCTTTCTTGCATTTTACTCAGTTTTCAACTGGGCTCCCTCCATGTGGTGTTTCTCGGCAGCACTACACTGATATCCTAATCAATTCTAACTAAAACTCCAGAACTGAGTCTTATTGAGAGAACTAAGGATCACTAGGGAACCAAGCCCTGAGAACCAGGGGATCCCGCCTTCCTATTGGTCATGTCCAGGTCACATGTCCAAACTTAGAACTAGGGTTCATGTCAGCTCCCCAAATCTCATGGGTCAAGAATGGAGAGTGAGCACATAGACCCCCAAGGCAAATATTGGTTCTGTTACTGAAAGAAGGGGGAAAATGCTGGACAACTAAAAACAAGAAATGCCTGTAATTGGCTCAGGTGGCACTTCTTTTATGCCATATAGTTATAGTTCAATTCTGTGTGATGTTTCTCCTTCCCTATTAGATTAGGAATTCCTTGACAGAAGGGAACATATTTATTTGATGACAGCCAACTCTTTCCTTCTGCTTCTCTGCTTTGTGCAATGCCTAGCATTTAGCTGGCAGTTACTGAATGGTTTTGTTTCCGTTTTTTTTTTGTTTTTTTTTTTTTTTTTGAGACGGAGTCTGGCTCTATTGCCCAGACTGAAGGGCAGTGGCACGATCTCACTGCAACCTCTGCCTCCCAGGTTCAAGCAATTCTCCTGCCTCAGCCTCCCAAGTAGCTGGTATTGCAGATGGCTGCTAACACATCCAGCTAATTTTTGGTGTTTTTAGTAGAGATGGGGTTTTACCATGTTGGTCAGGCTGGTCTTGAACTCCTAACCTCAAGTGATCCACCTGCCTCAGCCTCCCAAAGTGCTGGGATTACAGGCATGAGCCACTGTACCTGGCCCTGAATGGTTTTTGAATAAATAAATAATAGTTGATACTAGCAAGAATGGTTCAACTTATTACTGTGATTATAAATCACACTACACACAAGTTATTACTGTGATGATAAAATTAGATGATAAGTGAGTTAGATAAGTCCTATCAAAAGGCTTACTTACTTTGGCCAGGTGTGGTGGCTCACACCTGTAATCTTAGCACTTTGGGAGGCTGAGGCTGGTGGATCACTTGAGGTCAGCAGTTCAAGACCAGCCTGGCCAACATGGTGAAATCCCATCTCTACTAAAAATACAAAAGTTAGCCAAATCTGGGAGGTGGAGATTGCAATGAGCCGAGATCATGCCACTGTACTCCAGCCTGGGCGACAGAGTGAAACTCCACCTAAAAAAAAAAAGAAAAAGATGCTTACTTACTTTCAATGTATACTACTACTAAAATCCTTGGTTCCCTTTAAGGCAGACTATATAGATTAAATGTGATCTTGAAATTATCTAACATTTATAAGTTATAGGATTTCTTTACAGGTTTGTACACAGTTAATATTCCCCAAACACAGGACAGAATTAACTATACCTATATTTAAATATAGTGACAAAAAATAGGGACAGGAAATACAATCATTAAGATTAGAAAATAACTTTACATGTTATTTATTTATGGTGTTTATTTATGGTTAAAAATACACAATAGGCCAGGTGCAGTGGCTTATGCCTGTTATAGCAGCACTTTGGGAGGCCAAAGCAGAGGATGGCTTGAGCCCAGGAATTCAAGACCAACCAGGACAGCATGGTGAGATGCCATCTCTACAAAAAATTTAAAAATCAGCCAGGCATGATGGTGCATGCCTGTAGTCCCAGCTACTCAGAAGGCTGAGGCCAGAGGATCACTTGAGCCCAGGACTTTGAGGCAGCAGTGTAAAGTGGAAAGTTTATGGGAGTAAATGTCATACATTAAAAATTCTTCTACATTAAAAAAGAAGAAAGATCTCAAATCAACAACCCAACTTTATAACTCAAGGAAATAGAAAAAGAAGAACAAGCGAAACCCAAAGTTAGCAGAAACAAGGAAATAATAAAGATTAAAGCAGAAATAAATGAAACTAGTGATAGGGAAAAACAATAAATGAAACTAAGTTGGTTTTTTGAAAGAAATCAACAAAATTTATAAAACCTTAACCAAACTATGAAAAAAGGAGAAAATATTCAAATACATAAATTCAGATATGAAAAGGTGCATTGCAAGTAATACCACAGAAATAAAAAGGATTTTAAGACTACAATGAACAATTACATTCCATAGACTGCATAATCTAGAAGAAATGGACACATTCCTAGAAATATACAACCTACCAAAACTAAACCATGAAGAATAAAGAATCTGAACAGACCAATAACGAATAGGGAGATTGAATCAGTAATAAAAAGTTTCCAGCAAAGAAAAGGCCAGGACCAAGTGCCTTCTCTGAAGACTTCTATCCAACACTTAGAGAAGAATTCATACCAATCTTTCTGAAATGCTTTTAAAAAATGAAAGAAGCAGGAACATCTTCAAACTCATTTTATAAAGGCAAAATTACACTGACACTAAAACCAGACAAAGATTCAAGGCTGGGTGCGGTGGCTCACGCCTGTAATCCCAGCACTTTGGGAGGCCCAGCAGGGAGGATCACAAGTTCAAGAGATCAAGACCACCCTGGTCAACATGGTGAAACCCCTGTCTCTATTAAAAATACAAAAACTAACTGCGTGTGGTGGTTCGCACCTGTAATCCCAGCTACTCGGAAGGCTGAGGCAGGAGAATCGCTTGAACCAGGGAGGCAGAGGTTGCAGTGAGCCGAGATCACACCACTACACTTCAGCCTGGCGACAGAGTGAGACTCAGTCTCCAAAACAAACAAACAAACAAACAAAATTCAAGGAACAAAAACCTACAAACGAATATTACTGATAAATATTGACATAAAAGTCTTTTTTTTTTTTTTTGAGACGGAGTCACTCTGTTGCCCAGGCTGGAGTGCAATGGCACAATCTCGGCTCACTGCAACCTCTGCCTCCTGGGTTCAAGCAATTCTCCCCGCCTCAACCTCCCAAGTAGCTGGAATTACAGGTACCTGCCAACACACCCAGTTAATTTTTGTATTTTTTAAGTAGAGATGGGATTTTGCCACGTTGGCCAAGCTGGTCTCGAACTCCTGACCTCAGGTGATACTCCTGTCTCGGCCTCCCAAAGTGCTGGGATTACAAGCATGAGCCACCATGCCCAGCCTGATATAAAAGTCTTAACGTAAGTCCTGAAACTATAAGACTTCTAGAAGCAAGTATAGAGGAAACGCTTCATGTCATTGGATTTGGCAATGATTTCTTGAATACAACCACAAA